TTCATTTCTAATGATGTATACTACCTTCCTAAATGTCTTTATATATTACTTCTAGCCCTCCAAGTATTATTAATTACCAATTAGTCCCCATAGAAATTATTTTTTTCCCAATTTAATTCTTATTTGACTTTGACTTTAACTATAATTGGATGAGGTGTAACAATAGATTTTTAGGTCTAGGGTTCAAGTATGGCAAAAGAAGGAAAATATAGCGAATTTTCTCTAGACTGTCGCCATGGATTGGTTCGAGTGTCAACAACAGAACCTTCGTTGCTAGACTGTCGCCATGCTCTTGCTCGAGCGACAGCCTGTCGCTCGACTGTCGTTGAGCTCTAACTCGAGCGACATTGTTGTCTGGGAAATTTTTGTTTCGTGATTTAAAGGTTTTTCCCCTGACCCATTACTTTTCTAACCTACCTATAAGTTAATGAAGAAAAAGTCTGCACTTAAGATGAAAAATAATAATGAGCTTTGTTTACTGAATGATATGGCTCATATCATGTTGCTCATACTCGGGGAGAGAAATAATGCTTCACTTTATGATGAGCTTTCAGTTATAAGTCCTAACGTGCTTTACATGGTTTGCCTTTCATTGATTCATAACATTATTTTCGAGTTCTAATGTGTTAATGCTCATATTTCATACTCAAAGTGAGGGTGCAAAGTTTTTTTTTTTTTTTTTTGTTCTTTGGTTACAATTTTGCCCTTATCATTTTGTGACAAAAATGGGGGGTAGTTAGATATGTTTTTGATGGAGTAGATATTTTGCTTTTAAATGGATGTATATATATTTTTCTATCTACTTGATGTATCTAAAAACTTTTGATTTTGATTATATGATATATTTTCAGTTATGCTAAATTAAGTTTGATGTTTTAGTAGTATCGATGTGTCTTTTTGGTATGTTGGGTTGTGTTTGTACTATATCTTGATTTAGCATGCATGATTGAAACTGAATAATACTATATATTTTGTAGATTGCCTATTCTATAAATTGCTTCACTTATATTGTTTTCCACACATTTCACATTAGGTGTTGAGTTGTCTATTTCAAGAAACAGGTGCTGATTGAAATGCAGATTTCGTTCAAGTAGTTAGTTGAGTCATTGGTTTTTGAGTCTGTATTTCAGATTTGATTACTGTCTTGACTTTAGTAATTTTGTCACAGAATACTAAATGGGGAGTTTGTTAGGTTTTTAATTATGTAATTTGCAATTCTGTAAACAAAAGAGACTTAATTGTAAATGTAAAAGTCAAGGAGTAATGTGCAATTATATAAATATAAGTTTTTAAGTTTAGGGTTCGAATATGACAAAAGAAGAAAATACGTCTAGAGTTTTTGCTAGACCGTCGCCATGGACTTGGTCAAGCATAAAAAACAAAACCTTAGTTGCTAGATTGTCGCACTGCTTTAGCTCGAGCGACAGCCTGTCGCTCAACTGTCGCTGAGCTCTAGCTCGAGCAACAATGTTGTCCAGGAAATTTTTATTTTACTATTTAAAGGCTTTTTCCCTGACCCATTACTTTTCTAACCTACCTATAAATACCAAAACACACTTGAACTTGAAAATCAAGGTTGATCATTGAGAGAGCTTCATTAGAGAGAATTCTTACATATTCCTACTTTCAACCTTCATCTTGTGAATTTGTTTTGGTGAGAAAAACATTAATTTCGTAGTTCAAATACCAAACTGTTTTTTCCACACATCTTTCAGAGTTGCTAAAGATAGAGGAAAGTTGACTGGAGTTCCAGTCGTAGAAGAATGCGGTGTTCTTCTTTATTCAACGGGAGATAGACGATTTCACAAAACTGTGAGTAGTTGCAGGAGAGCGTNAGTCGTAGAAGAACGATGTGTTCTTTGTGGATCCACATGAGATAAACTATTTCGCAAAGTTAGGAGTTGATGTAGGAGCACAGAATCCTGGAGAGTTGTTGGAATTGCAGTCAGGAGATCAGATAGTAGGTGTCGTCATCTAGACTGGTAGACTAGAAGTTACAAATTGTTTATAGTGGATTGTTGACTAGCAAAGTGGCTGGAGTTTTTACCCAATTGGGGTTTCTTCATGATCATACAGTGTGTTTTTACTGCTTTCTGTATTGATTATATAAACTGCGGTGTTCAAACATAGGTTAAATTGACTTG